AGGATCAAGGGTGTATGATGACTAAGTTAATCTACTAATTGGTTTATCATATTCTGGATGTGGATAATGGGAAGGCCTGCCCTGGGTGGAGGTGGCACCAATCAATAGGTTTGTAGCCTGAAAGGAATAAATGGAAAGAAGAGGCTTGCTTCTACTGGTAGTGGACCCCCACCTACTACATTATGACTCTTTCTTCTCTGCCATGCCGTCTTGCCTGGGAGCCAACTAACTATTGACTGAAACTTCTACAAACTACAGGCTAAAAGAAGCCCTTCTGTAATGGTTGATACATTGTGTCAGCTTGAGAAGTCTAGAAATTTAACTAAGTAACTCAGCAGTTCTACATCCTGGGGTATAGAGGACATGCCTTTAGAGCTCTAGGATGTTGACTGTGTCAACTTGAAAAATTTAGAAGTTTAATTTAGTGATTCAGCAGGGGTCCAGAGCCCTCCCTTTGTAAACATCCTCATCCTGTGCGAGAGGAGGGGAGGGACATGGTGTGAGTGCTATACCTGCCACCCTGTGCGAGAGAAGGGGAGGGGACTGTTTACAAGGATGAAAAAGCTTGTCCCCCACCCTCTGCTCTGGCTGCTTTTGCTGCCTTCTGCTACCTTGAAGTATTGCCTCTGTGCCATGCCACCCTGCTTTGCAGCCAACTGATTATGGACTGAAACATCCACAAACTGTGAGCTTAATAAACCTTTCCCTCTTTAATTTTGGATGTTGGGTATTTTGTCCCAGCAACAAGAGAAAAGGAATCAAGATATTTTCTTCTTTTAACTTTGGATTTTGGGTATTTTGTCTCAGCAATGAGAAACGTAACTAATGCACACAAGATCAAGCACTTCTATTTACTTGGGCTGGGAGATTGCAGCATATTTGGCCCATTCCCCAGTTCTCTAGGAATGGGACCTAGTATTGTGAATGATTCCAAGACAATCCAGATTATTTGCATTACAAGAAAACCAATTAATACTAACAACTATATCACCTTTGCTATAGTAATAAAACCAGCATTAATTATATAATCAGTTTTAACATCAATTATATCATAAATTGAGTATCAACAAATTCAAAGAGCCAATAATATACCACCCTTAACCATAGTGTAGAGATGTATACTTATAGTGTACACACCAAGGCAAACCAAGTATGACCCAGAGTGTGCCTACTATGACCCACAGTAAATACCTACTAAATGGAGCAGCTTTACCTATTAACAATAAAACAGCACCTACAGCAATAGTGTCTAGCTCTAGCTCTCCAGATACTCATAAAACTAATAAAGGTAGAGGGATGGAGAACTGGACAGTGAAAAAAGAAAAATTTGTGGGATTAATCAGAGGGAAATGAGAAGGAGGAGAGGAAAGTGATATGGGCTCCTACTGAGGAGTAAAACAAAACTAATAGTTAGAAAACAATCACAGGAAATGAACAAGAAAAGAAGAAAAAAGATAATCAGAGAGCAAAATACAGCAAGTGAAACAAAGCCAAAAGAGAAGGAAAAAGTTGAAAGGGGAAAAGAGAAAATGCAAGGAAAAAAACGAGAGAGGGAGAGAGAGAGAAGAGGGGGAGCACAAATGTCCACCCCTAGAAAACCCAATAAAGGAAAGATAAAAAAGAGTAAAATAAAAAAGATTTAGTCAAGGAAAAAACAACCCTGTGTTTTTGAACGCGTGGTCTCCACCCAGATTTAGGACCTGCCTAGGTTTTGAGGTGCCCAGCCTGCACCACAGGCCCCTCTGTCCATTTACCCCGGCCTGGAGTCACTGCCCAGTCCAAGGTGCCACCTGCGGGGATTACAGGAAAGCAGGTTTACGGGGAGGGCCTGCAGGGGGTCGCTGACCTTCCTGCCAGTAATCCTGGGTCTGCTGGCCCCTTCTCTCCCTGGAGCAGGTCGCTGTCCCAGGCCCAGGTGAAGAGAAATGTAGAGCCTGCTTTGAGCTGTTGGCCCTTGCGTGGGAAGGGGCACCCCACACGGGCTGCTTGCTCACGTAGTGGGGGCACCCCTGCAGCACGGGCAACCTGCTCTTGTTGGGGGAGGGTGGCTGGTCACCCAGTACAGGTCTGCTTGCTCCTGGGGTGAGGGGGTGGGCACCTGCCTGCAGGGGCCTTGTCAGCTTGTCTTGAGTTCTATCTTCATTCTGAATGCTACTTAGAATGTTTCACATGTTGTCTCAATCCTTCTGTGAGCCTTGTAAGTGTGGGCTCTAACATTGCTCCCATTTTAAAGATGAATAACAGAGTCTTAAAAAGCTTAAGTAAAAAACCTAAGCTTCTATAACTAGCAAAGGGCAAAAGACTTCATCCGTTTAGTCACAGAGCTGGCTTTTGAAGGCCTGAACTTTGCATATATTGAGCTAAGGGTCTCCAGAGTCACTACCTCCCCTGCTTTCCTCTTTAACTTTGAGACAGTGTCTTAAGTCACAAAACTGCCCAGGTTAGGCTTGAACCTCCCATCTGTCTGTCTCGGCCTCCCAGAGTGCTGGGATTATAGGAGTGTGCCAGCATGCCCGGTACTTCTAACTTTTAAAAAAAGTCTTATACTAAGGGGCTGGGGATTTAGCTCAGCGGCATAAGCACTGCCTTGCAAGCAGGCAGTCGTGAGTTCGATCCCTGGTACCGATGAAAAAGAAAAAAAAAAAAAAGTCTTATACTGGTAAATATTTACAAGGTGCATCTCTGCTAAGGAGCTAACATCCAGACTATATAAATAATTCCTATAATAGCAATGACAACAAAAACAAACAACTCAGTTAAAAAAAATGGGCAAAGGAAGACCAGTTATATAATAAATGAAATATGTACACTCATCTCATGGAAAATTATTCAGGCTTTAAAAGGACATCTCACACATGCAGCCACAGCACAAGTTTGAGGACTTCCCTTCTCAGTTCTGCTTCCTCTCTCTTGAATTGCTCACTCCTCCCGTGCCACCTTCACCCCTAGCTACTTAAACCTTTCATTGTCTGAACACCTGCTCCCTGGAGGGCCACACTGATGGAGTTGAAGATCAATGGAGACTCTTCGGAGGGGTTCCTTTAGCCTGTCTGAAAGTAGAAACCCCACTTTCTCTTTCCTATTCTTTTTTTCTTTGTTTCTTTTTTTTTGTGTGTGTGTGCCTTTTTGAGACAGGCTCTCACTGTGCAGTTCAGGCTGGCCTCGAGCTCACTTTGTAGCACAGGCTGACCTTGAACTCAGTGATCCTCCTGCCTCAGCCTCCTGACTGCTGGGATTACAGGTGTGTGCCACCACACCCAGTTAGTTCTTCTTTTTTCTTTCTTTTAAATCTTTCTACATATATTTCCAGTATCTTTACTAACATGGCAGTGGATATCCTGCTGTTTAGCAGTTGTCCCAAGATTTACTCCTTAACACTGTCCTGGTCAGTGCTGTGCTGCCGACCTCCTGCCCCTTCCTTTTCTCGTTTCCTCCTCCTCAGAGCCATGTGAAATGCGAGAAAGCATCCTGTAATGGTGGGAACAGTCTGGAGACTAGGGGACATATCGGAGGCTCCATCTCAGAGAGCTCAGGGTTGCACTGTGAGAGGGCCCTGCTTCCGCCTAGCACATCCCCCTACCTCCACCATCCCCTTGTCCTCCTCTCCTTATTTTTCTCTGTTGCATTGTTTGTGCTCTGGAACCAGTTTTATGTAATGATGGCCTTGGCTGAGAGGAAGGTATCCTGGGCATCCACTGCTGTGGCCTGGAACCTAGAACAGTATCCGGCAACTTTGTCATTGAATGGATGCTCAAAACAATGGGGCTCATCACTGGGGCGCACCGTACTTCCTCTTCGAAACAGTGCTGTGCTGTCCTTTGTTCTGTTCCTTGAGATGGGGGAGGAGGTCTCACTACGTGGTCCGGGCTGGCCTGGAAGTCATCATTGTGGTGATGACCAAGGGGCAGGGTACCATGAAATCAATGGATATTGATAAAAGGGCCCCAGCTCTTTTAATCTTTCTATTTTGAGACAGTGCCTCACTGTGTTACCCAGAATGGGCTCTAGGCTGTGACCCGCCTGTTTTAGCCCCCTGGTACCTGGGATTGTAGTGGGTGCCACCGTGCCTGGCTGTGAGCCATATCTGAATCACTCTCTCTGGTTTCCAGGGGCCCCACTGTCAGTTCACCCAGCCTCCCAGGCATCTTTGCCAGTTCTTCTCGCATTTGCTGCCCTTCCATCTGGAAGGAGGCCTCCCAGTTCTCGGTGATATTATTCTGTGTTTCCTTCATTGCTTCCCCGGGGATGCTGATCTGACCTTGCAGCCAGGCACTGGTGAGAAAATCATACCCTATGGTTAAGCTGCTGGCTTGAAAACTCTTTACCCATTGCGGGACTTTATTGTTATTGTGACTCCAGGAACACAATGCACATATATGTAGTAATCCTCATTAAGGACTATTCTATTCTGTTCACTCTATTAAAAAATCTATTTTGGGGGCTGGGGATTTCGTTCAGCTGCATAAACACCTGCCTTGCAAGCGTGCTCATGAGTTCAATCCCCGGTACTGACAAAAAATAATAAATAAATCCATTTTATTTCAAAGAGAGTTAAAAAAAAAAAAAAGAAAACAAAACAAGAATAATTTTAAAAAACTTTTTGTTCCAGCCATTTCAGTGATGTCATGAAGCCAGCTTGGTCTATGTGACCTGCTCAAAGTCTCATCATTAGTGTGACGGTGGATACAGGGTTCTTCTCTGACTACACTCTGCAGGGGGTTTCTTGCCCAAGGTAAACCCACTGCAAAGCTGTGTGATAGTTTTGCTCACTGAGAACAGATTCCTTCTTCTCCTTCGCAGCCATAGCCGAGGCAAGGCTGCGCTGACCATCTGCAGGCATCTCCCTCAGCCTGGGTCCTCCAGAGCCCTCGCCCTCCATGGTGCTGCTGACTGGAAGGCTCTTCCTAGGAGCTCCATGGGGAAACCCCTCAGGCTGCAGGCCCCCACTCGCTGGGATTCTCATTCCAATGACGCCACATTAACACATGGACAAAGGCACATAGCACAGTAAATGATTTATTGGGGTCAAGGACCGAGTCAATGGCAGGCCTGAAGTGAACCTGCCACAGCCTGGGAGTCTGCTTCACTACGAAGGGGGAAGCCTCAGCCAGGCCTCGCCTGGTGGCCTGGACCTGGTCAGCCATCAGCCAGTTAATCCACGATGACACCTTCTTTCCTACCAGAGGGAGATTTTTACTTCGCTCTGCGGAGAATGCTTTCTTGGAATGCAGAATTCTCTGCTTGATTCACCAGCTTAATTCAGCTGGTGTTGGATGCAGAAACCTAGAAAAAGCAGAACCTTATTTATTTGTTCTTTTATTCCTCGATTTATAAGGGGCCCCAGTCTACTGTATGTCCATACGTCCCTGCACGTGGCCATCTCTCAAAATGTTTGTGTTTGCTGCTCCTCTGCTGGCAGGCAGCTGTGAAAGCCATTAGCACTGTTTGCTTCCAGTTACAAAGGAAAACATTCTCTATTTGGGGCTGTGTTGTTGTTGTTGGTTTTTTCTCTTTCTTAATTTAAAAGGGGAAATTCGTTTCCCAGCAGAGATGCAGGGCTGCCTCCTCTCCTTCCAGGGCTCGGGCTGGCTGGAGAAACTTGTCACACACCTGGCTCATCACCTCGCTGTTACTCCTGCTTTTCCTCTCCGCCTTTGGTCTGAAATTATTCAAGCAACTGGGCAGGTTTCTTCACCTCCCTGGGGGCGCCAGTTTATGACTCCAGGCCGCCCTCATGTTCTGGTGTGTTTTTAGCTGAGACTCAGGTTGTATCCCACCGTCAGGTGCACGGACAGAATGACCGTTGGTGGGAGGAGGAAACATGAGAAATCCTAACCCCAGCCCAGGACCTTTGAAGGAACACACAAACCCTGACCTTGCTGTGGTGCTTTGGAGAAGCCATCTGGGGAAAACTTCATTTCCCCCAAAATATATGAATCTGAGAGTTTCTCTCACTGGAAAGTAAGAAAGCCATATGGCAAATGTGGGCTTCACATACACAAATATTAGTCTCAGAAAACACTTTAAGCAAGAATGGTCCATGAGTGTGCTCTCAGAGGCTCGGCCTGTGCAGGGGGAGGTTTGAGGGCTGAGGAGGAGCCAAGGGAAGGGGGAAAGGAGAGCGCCACGGTGCAGACCGCAGCCACGGAGGGCAGGGTGTGCGGTGGGCTGGAGGTGCCGCGAGACCAAAGCAAGGTGACCAGCTGGTGTCAAGGAGATGGGGAGGTCAGGAAAGGAGGAAGGAGCCGGGCGTAGTGGCGCTTACCTGTAATCCCAGCATTCTGGGAGACAGAGGCAGAAGATCAAAAGTTTTTTTTTTTTTTTTTAATTTTTTTTTTGTCTTTTTCATTTTTATCGGTACCAGGGATCGAACTCACGACTGCCTGCTTGCAAGTCAGGTGCTTATGCCGCTGAGCTAAATCCCCAGCCCCAGAAGATCAAAAGTTTACACCCAGTGTGGGCATCTCAGTGACTTAGACCCCGTCTCAAATTTTAAAATAAAATAAGGTAAAATAATAAAATGAAAAGTACTGGGGACATAGCTCAGTGCAAAGGGACTGGGTTCAGTTCTCGGTACTACAAAAAAGAAAAAACAAAAAAGAAGAAAGAAGAGAAGAAAGAGGAAAGGAAGACTATAGGAATAAAAGAGGCTTACAGGAAAGACTGACAACAGTACCTATGATGCCTAAGGGAATCCAGGGATAATCGGAGGCATTTGAAGCACCATTTGGGCTCAAAATTGAGGTTGGGACCTGGGCTCCTGCTTGGGAACTTCCAGGTTGAATCTGGGAATCACTGTGTGAGGCGTTCACATGGGCCATGTGCCTCTGAAAAGCTAAGGCTTATGAGTCACTGGTATCTCTTTTTAAATGTCAGATCCCAGTCATTTCTTGCTGGTAGACAGGAAAACAATTGGTTTTTCTATGCCGGCTGTGTAACAGTGGAACGTCTTTCCAGTTATTTAAGATTTTTTCACCAGTGTTAAGTGGTTTTGCACATAGAGATCCTGTCTGTATTGTTAGATTTGTACTTCTCTTGATGCTATTGTAAATATATATTTTTTAAACTTCAAGTTCATGACTGATCTTTAGGAAGGTGTAAGAAACAAAGCTTTTCTTCTCTGATTATGAGTTTGGCCCCCAAACCACAAGCACTGAGGGAGACAGGGGCAGGAAAGGTCAGTAATCACAGCTGTCCGTCACCCCATCTTTCCCTCTACTCTTGCTCTGTAAATATTTGTTTATTTCATTTACCAAGTTGATGATATGCTAAAGAACAGCTGGGGAGAGCATGGAGAAATCAGGAAGAACGCAGAAGTCCCAAGGTTAAGATCTTTAGATAGGTGTCTGAACTCTCAACAGTGTATGTGTGTATGTGGGGGGCTGTTAGTAGATAGCAGGTGAGGACGTCCCGCCCGAGGGGCACAGGAGGACAGAGCCCTGCTGAAGATGAACCACATTCGCCCTGGACAGAGCCCTGCTGAAAATGAACCACATTCACCCTGCAACAGTGTGAACAAGCTACTAAAATAGGGCATGAACTGAGACCAGATGCCCACTTTTGTCCCAGAATACTCAGCGTAGGACTGGGTTACTTCTAAGTGTTAGTTTCTGCTAACACTTGTTTTGCCCTGTGACTGAGAATACTTGAGCCAGGGCCACTGGGGTCTGGTTGACCAGCGGGAGTGGCCCATTGATGTAAGAAAGCACGGCTTTCAGTGGGAAGTGGGCTGAGAAAAATGACAAGAAATATAGTTGGTGAGTCTAGGAGTGGCCAGCAAGGTGGACTGCACCCCATGTGCCAGGATGTGGGGCAGAGTGGAGGTGCAGCAGCTGCTGCTGGCGGGATCCGGGCTGTAGCTAAGTCTGGATTCACGCAGCCTCCGAGAGTGTTTTAGGGGCTGGGGGTCGACTCCTGCTTCAGGCAGGTTGGCGGCTGCGAGGCCCCTCAGTGACCAAGGTGGTGGAGGGATGTAAGTCCTCCTTAAACACGGGTGAGCTCTGAAGTCACTGTCCCTGAATCAGAGGCAGAGTGTGAGGAGCTGGGCAGGTGAGGAGGAGCCTGCAGGACTCCTCTGCTGGAGGATCCAGGGTGCTTTAGCTATGGAGAGAGCTGAGCCTTTTGCTAAGAGGTGCTAGTTCCTGGAGGGTGACGGGGTCGCATCACCTGGAGAGACACTGAAAAGCTTTGCTAGCAAAAGTCTTAGAGGTTCAGAGGGTGGGGATAGAAGGAGGTCATGAGGGAAGAGGGCACCATTTCGGAGAGGACTGCTCAGGGCATCAATCAATGAAGACATAAGGGAAATGACACCCCCCCCCCCAGGCCGAGACTTCATTCTGTCAGAGGAATAATTTACCCAAGGTTGCTGGGTGTGGTGGTGCCTGCCTGTAATACTAGCACTCAAGAGGCTGAGGCAAGAGGATTGCAGAGAGTTTGGGTCAGCTTGGGCTACATAGCAAGACCTTGTCTCACTAAAGAAAGAAAGAAAGAAAGAATTTACCCAAGGTCTCTCTGGGGTCACTTCTCCTGGAATCATCATGCCATATCCCTTTCTTTCATGCTTCCAGAAACAGAACGGTTTTCTCTAGGTGGTTCCCATGTCTACAAACACTAGCATTTTCTTTCTAGGCAAAGAATCTCAACTTCAGTGGTCATACTGCCATAGAGAAGGGGATGCTCATTCACAGTGAGAAGTGGAGAGGTTTCAGGACTCAGCAGGCCAAGAGTGTGGATTATGTAACCAGCGCGTGGCCTTGAACTTACAGTGTAGCCAAGGCTGGCCTCAAACTGGGGATCGTCTTGCCTCAGCCTCCTGAGTGCTGGGATCACAGGTGTGCGCCACCACACGTGACTATGTAAAGTATGCTTGATTGCAAGAGGCAAAGTGTGAGTAAGGAAAAGCAGCAGCAAGTCTGGTTTCTATTCTCTCTTCCCCGGCCCTACTGAGGGTTGAACCCACGGCCTTTGCACTAAGGCACATTCCCAATCTGTTCTCTACTTTTTATTTCAGGCCAGAGTTTCACTAAGTCGCTGAGTTGCCCAGGCTGGGCTTGAATTTTTGAACCTCCTGCCTCAGCTTCCCAGGCTGCTGCGAGTGTAGTACGTCTATGCCTTGCCTGGCTGGTTTCTGCCCTTCAGCAGGGTATTTTCACAAGACAAATAAATACACAGTGACATCACGGCCAGCACCAGGTGGTATAGACAAATGCCAAGTTTTTAAAAATTAAGTTGATTAAAAAAAATTAAGCTGATTGGTGCAGTTTAGGTCTGCACAATGCTCACATTCATCATCTGGAGTTTGTACCTGTACATGACATACCTGTATTCTTCTTCCCGTTCCCCTCCCCTCCCTTCAACCCTTCTTCCTCTCCTTATTTGCAAAAGCTTTATTTAGATTTTTTCCTTCTTTCCTCACTTTTTCTTTTCCCTTCTTCCCTCCCCTCTCTGTTTTCCCTCCTCGTTTGAATATTTTCTTCCTATTTCACAATATCTATATACATTTTGGTCCACTTTTGGTTTCTCATACTTTCAGTTTCTTATCTCTTTGGTCCACAGATAAACAATGTGGTATTTACACATGTGTGTCCGATTTATTTCGTTGAAGAGTACAGTCTCAAGGTGCATCCATTTAGCTAGAAATGTCTCCAGCTTATCCTTCTTTATGTCTGAGGCATACTGCATTGTATAAAGGTAACACATTTTTATCCAACAAGTGTCAAAAGAACAGTCTAGTGGTAACACTTAGTATCTGCAAGGAAAGGCTTTCTGGAAGGGTAAAACATGAACCTGCTCTGCTGGATGGGTAGAATTCAGGTGAAGAGGCCTTTTCTAGAAAGAGAGCAGGTCGGAGCAAAGGCTCAGAGGCTAGGCCCAATGAGGCCTTCCTGCAAGCTCCGCCTTCATGCTCTGCCTTGTGCCAATGTCTTCTGTGTCTAGTTTAACATCTGTATGACAATAGCGTGAATCAGGTTGGTTTTTTCTTATATATTATTTTTATTTTATACTTGAGGAAACTATTAAGTATTTGCCCAAAATTACCCACTAAGACAATGGCAGACCCAGGGTCTGAATCTGTTATCTTAGGACTCCAAATCCCGGGTCTTTCCACAATACACATTGCTTGTTTGGGCTGTGGAAAGCCTGTTTGGACAAAAAGGAAAGTTTTGTGCTAGGGCAACAGGGGGGAGAAAGACAGGGGAACCAAAGTATCAGAGGCCAGGCAAAGCGCCCCAAAGGTCTTGGGGTAACGCAGAGACTCAGCTCGCACTGTGGGGGCTCCTATTTCGGAGGCTGCATAGGCTAATAACCAAGCAGCTCAGGAGAAAGAAAGGGGGCCCTGCATGTAGTCCTGGAGGTTTCCTTCCCTTGAACTTACTTTTCATTTCCTCTGTTTTGTCACTCCTGTGTGCTCTTAAATGACTCCACCCCAGCATGGTGCTATGTCTCACCAGTGGGCAAAGTGACTATACAGTGACTGGGTTGGTTCTGGGTGCACAAGTCCAGTGATGGGAGTGCTCAGATGGGCCTCTTGACCATGGGGTACCACTGGCCCCAGCCTCCCTCCACCGAGAAACTTCACATTCATCCTTCTAAGCTGGAAGAAGACAGACTGCTGAGGACTCCAGACAAGGCCTGCTCTCCATGCGGTGTGTGGGAATCTCTACTGGGTCCATGGCAGTTTGCCTGGGTATCTTCAGTCTGTGGCATTAGTAGCAATTCTTACAATCCTCTTGGCCTCTCTCTGACTGCATTGAAAAATGGGCATTGGCAGGGTGTGGTGGTGCATGTTGGTAATCCCAGCACTCGGGAGGCAGAGGCAGGAGAATTTCTGAGTTCAAGGCCAGCCTGGGCTGCACAGTGAACTCTAGGCCAGTGTGAACCACATGATGAGACCCTGTCTCCAAAGAAAGAAAGAAAGAAAGAAATTGGACATTGTTCTCAAGCTTCTATGACCCAGAAATATCACTTGTAGGAATTTATAAGTAAATGTAAAGTCAAGTCAAGAATAGGAGTACGTGGGGCCAGGGATTCAGCTCAGCAGAACAAGCACCTGCCTGGTAAGTGTGAGGTCGTGAGTTTGATCCCAGATTAAAAAAAAAAAAGACTAGGAATACATAGTGCTTTTTATAATACTAAACATTTGCAAATGCCTAAGTCCTATGTTCATAGATTGGAAGAATTAATATTTTTTAAATGTCCATGTTACTTAAAGCCTTCTACAAATTCAATACAATCCCTATTGAAATTCCAGTGATTTTTTTTTACAGAAATAGAAAATATTTCTTTGAAACTGTGAAAAGCTTTGAATCACCACATCATGCTATGTGATTTCAAAATCTACTACAAAGCTACAGTCATCAAAACAGCTTGGTACTAGCATAAAACAGACATCAGAGGCCAATGGAACAGGATAGAAGGATCAAAAATAGGTGCACACATTTGTCAATTGATTTTTGATGAAGATGAAAAGAATACACAATGAGAAAAGGACAGACCCTTCAACAAATGGCGCTGAGGAGACTGGACAGTCACATGCAGAAGAATGAAGTTAGATTTTTGTGTGTGGAGGGGTGCTGGGATACAAGTTCTCGCTGTGCAGTTCAGGCTGTGTCTGAATTCACTGTGTAGCCCAGGTTGGCCTCGAATCAAGGTGAGCTTCCACCTCAGCCTCCCAGGGTCTGGGACTGCAGGTCCCAGCTAGCCCTCATCTCAAACCACATCAAGTAGCATCCCAAAATGGGTTCAAGATTTATACATAAGTGTTGAAACTGTAAAACTACTAGAAGGAAGTGTAAGGGAAAAGCCCGTCATACTGGTGCCGGCAATGATATTTTTGGATAGGACTCAAAAAGCATAGGGAACAAGTTTAGCACTCTGGGAGGCTGAGACAGGAGGATCACAAGTTTGATGTCAGCCTGGGCAACTTAGCAAAAGAAGTCTCAAAATAACAAAAACACAAAGGGGCAGGAATATAATTCAGTATGAAGGCCTTGGTTGAATCCCCAGGGTGCTCTCTCTCTCTCTCTCTCTCTATATATATATATATATATATGAATTAGGCAACAAAAGTAAAATAGACAGGTGGGATTACATTGAAGTAAAATCTTCTGTATAGCAAGCAAACAACACAGTGATGTAAGAATCTATGAATTGGGAGAATACATTTGAAAGCTATACATTTGATAAGGGGCTAATATGTAAAACATACAAGGAACTTAACACAATAGTGAGGAAATAACCTGATGAGAAAATCAGCATGAAGGTAGGAACAGACATTTCTCAAACTGCCAACGGGTACACGCACCATCGCTAATCATCAGAGAAATGCAAATTAAAACCACTATGAGCCAGGTGGGGTGGCACAGCCTATATCCCACACTCCAGGAGACTGAGGCAGACGGATCATAAATTTGAGGCCAGCATTGACAACTTAGTGACTTAGGGAGCCTGTCTTAAGATAAATAAAAAATTTAAAGACCTGGGTTTAATTCCCTGAGTGCAAAAATCAAAATTAAAAGCAAAGCAACAAGCAAAAACCACTATGAAATATTATCTCACACCTGTCCGATGATCACTATCAGAAACAAACTTCACTGAGAACATGGATAGGTGAGCCTTTGCGTACTCTGATAGGGAAGTAAATTAAACCATTACGGTAAACAGGATGGAGGGGCCTCAAAAATTACAAATAGAATTGCCACATGATCCAGAAATCCAACATTTGAGTGTGGGTCCAGAGACATGGAACCCATGTGCTTCAGAGACGTGTGCACCCTCGGTAACTGCGGTGCCGTTCACAAGGCCCAGCGAGCAGCCGCTGGGCATGGGTGGAGAAGTGTGATACGAACAGATGGCAGGGGTAACAGCACTTGTGACAACACAGACAATCCTGGAGGACATCTCAGTAAGTGAAATAAACCAGGCACAGAAAGGCAAATACTGCATAGCTTCATTTATATGGGGAATCTACATAAAAACTGAGCTCAGAAAGAGAGTAAAACACTGATACCAAAGACAGGGGGATTGGGGGAATTAGGGAGGGAGGTGCTGGCCAAAAGACACGAAATTTCAATTAGAGAGGAGGAAAAAGGTCATGGTGGTGATGATTGATAACATCATGTACTTGAAGATTGCCAAGAGAACAGAAAAGTAGGAATGTGTGGGGAGGCGCATGTTAAGTAGCTGAATTTGGCCATTCTGCAAAGTATCCATATACCAAAGCATCATGTTAAGAAGTCATGCTGCACACCACAAAATATACAATTTTTGCTTGTCAGTTAATAAATAAGTCTGGTATGGCGGCATGTGCTTGTAATCCCAGCTACTCAAGAGGCTAAGGTAAGAGGTTTGCAAGTTTGAATCCTGCCTGAGCAATATAGTGAGACCTTGTCTCAAAGAAACAAAACAAGCCCCCAAACACTGGGTAGCACAGAGATGGAGTGCTTGCCTAGCATGCATGAGGCCCTGGGTTTGCTCTCAGCACAGCAAAAACTAACAGAAATATAAAAATATATACACAAAAGACTGTGGTAAGCTGTGTAGTGGATTATAAGTGATTTTTTTCTTTTCAGTTATCTTGGGGTATGTGTGTGTGTGTGTAGTACTGGGGATTCACCACTGAGCTGCACCCCTTTTTTTTTTGTATTCTTTTCCCTAATGTTGTGACAGGATCTTACTAAGTTATACAGGTTGGCCTCAAACTAGCAATCCTCCTGCCTCAGCATCCTGAGTAGCTGGGATTACAGGCTTGTTTCACCATGCCTGGCTTCTATTTGGTTTTATAAAACATCACTTAAATTTAAAAAAAAATTACATGTGAATCATAAAAATGCATCGTAAAACAAGGAAAACATTATACATAAAATTGAGGGCTCTCCCGCCACCTCCCTCAATACTGTATATTCCTGTTCAGCATACGGAATACATATGTCTATGAACCCACTCTGTACATGTCATTTCTGAAACATTTTTTCAGCTTTTCACTTCACTTACCCATTTCTCAGACATGTTTCCATGTCCCTGTGTTTCTGTTTTATAGCTTCTTTTAAATTACATATTGTCCCACAGATGGTTGTTCCCCAATTGCTCACTTTGCTGCTGTAAACAATGCTCATGAGTCCAGTGGTTATGGTTTTACATCGGTTCTAGCACAGTGTTCTAGCAAGGGCTGGGCAGGAGCTCAAGTGCGTTTAAATGTTAAAATGCACGAAGTGAAAGACACATCGCCATTGGCCCCCAGAATATTTCCCCTCACTTTGCACACACTGAGCCCACTTCTCTCACCCTTTCCTGAAACAGTTCTAGAGTTTTCTTTGTGTCTCTGTGAGGTGTGATAAGAATAGTGAAGGCCTCTGCTGGGTGACACTGACACAAAGACCAGACCACACCAACACACCAGTGCGCCCTCCTCCCCTCACTCACCAGACCGGGCACCGTGTGACTTCTGGCTCTGCCCCAAAGTCAAGATGCCACGAAAGGCGAACGTTCGAATTGAGTCAGGCTGTCAAGGCAGCCGTGACCGTGCTGTGAGAGAGGCTTCGGGAAGTGGCCGGAGCAGTGGCATAAATGTGTCCAAAATGAGACGAAGACTTTGAGGGGATTGTGTGACAATGTGTCTCTGCTTGTAATGTTTTTTCTTCTTGATGTTTTGTGATGGGGTCTCACGATGAGATTCATGCCAGCCTTGACCTCGTGGTGATCCTTCTGCCTCTGTGCCGCCTGTACTGGGAATCCAGGTGTGTGCCAGTATGTCCAACTTTGCAATAAATTATTAAAAATGTAAACATATGCTGTATTTTATGATCATACCTTGTGTCTAAACACACACACATACACACACATACACACACATGCACACACCTTTTGTGGCGCAGGGACTGAACCCAGGGCCCACACAAGCCATGGATTCTATCACTGAATTACAACCCATCCTCCGCTTCTACCCTTCCTTTGAGACATAATCCAAGTTGCTCATGCTGGCCTTGAACTTGTGATAGTCCTATCTCAGCCTTCTGAATAGCTGGGATTACAGACATGCCCCACTGTACCCAACTTCAGAAAAATATATTTTCAATGACTATAAATATTTGTTTTAATTTGAGCTGAACAAAAGGCAGCAACCTTTAGATATTAACTCATGTGCTCCTGTCTTTTCCTAGAGGTCAAGGTGGCCTGAGACACACAGAATGCCTTTGCCCTGTCATACTTTGGAACAAGATAACAGTTGGTCTCCATCAGCAATTTCCTCTAACAGAATTCACAGCAGTATGGATATAAATACATTAGTTCCCCAACTTTCAGAATCCACATGAAAACGAAAAAGACTGACAACTGCTATAGGCATTTCACTCCCTCCTTTAAAACAATACAGGACCGGGGCTGGGGATTTAGCTCAGTGGCATAGGCACCTGCAAGCAGGCAGTTGTGAGTTCAATCCTGGGTACTGATTAAAAAACAACAACAAAAAACAATACAGGACCTGAGACCTGGAGAGAGACTTTTCAGCTCCTAGAAAGCGGGAGATCGGCTTGCTATCTCAACCCCACGGGTACATCAGAATCCTCTGCTAGAATCTGTTTAATTCAACTCCTTGGATATGCAGTCACATTAGCTGCTGTTGCCACCTGATTGCCATCTCTCGTGGGTACCCTTGAGATGCTGGAGAAGAAATTGGTGAGGAAATCAGCAAATTCCCAGCACCTTCTGCTTGGTGCCATGTCATCCTTAACCAAAGGTGCAACTGAGTGTAAAATAAGTAAAATTCTTGCATTTGCTAACATGAGTCACAACACAAAGAGTCTCCAGTTTAAAAAAAGAAAGAAAAGAAAAAAGAAAAACACTCCCCTCCCTTCAGACTCCCCCTCAAGCCTCTAATCTCATCTGTGAAAAAGAACTGTACTCTACTGTCCACAAAACAGTCTGTTTTCAAAGTAAGAGCAGAAGGGCTGTGCTAGGAGGAGAGCAGGACATTGCGCTCTCGAATTCCTGCCTGTTTATAGAAAGCAGGGCTGAGGACAGACACTTTGAAACCACCTGGGAAAGAATTAAAGACCAAGGGGGGCAAAACCCCCATCACAAACAGAATCTCACTGATCAAGTGTGAAAGAAAAGGAAGAAAGAAAGAGCCAAGTAGATCTTTGCAGGCAACCACTAGATGGACATAGAATTCAAAAACATTCTTTAGTGAGATCAAGGATGGCAGGCTTTGAAGCCTGGAGGGCTGGCGGTCCCGGAGCCTGGCTGGTCTGCCGGCCCCACACCCAAGCAGCCGCAGTCTGGCACTTGTTGGAGGAAAGCATTTAAATGGGAACAATGTCAAATTTCACAGCTATCTCATGTCCAGTGACCTTACAGGACCCCAAGGGAAAGACAGAGAAAAAATGATTGTTGTCAACAAGTTCCTGAGAGTGAAGAAGTCAAAGAGGCAACCTGGAGAAGCCTGTTTCAAAATGAAAATGCGAGCTGTGGCGAACAGTGCTCATTTATTCGTCTGTTAATTCTTTTTATGGAAGGCTACAGTGTGTGTCTCGTGCTGCAGGGAATGCCTGTTAGCCAGGAAAATTTTATCATGGGAAAAGGGGGCACAGTGTCTATTCTGAGTTACTGAATCGATTTGAAACAGATGTTTACTATCCTGTAGATAAAAGGAGACATGGCTAGGTCTGACCAAAAAATCATCACATTAATGAAAGAACAATTCATGAGAAGACAAAAAGAGAGCCCAAACTTCTGCTGTGCTTTGCACAAGAATCTCAGTGACTCCTTGCATCTCCTGTACCCAAGTCAATAGTCTTAGCTTAGTGGCTCTTTTCCTTTAAGAAAAAAGAAAGGTTGCAGATGGAACTAAAACCCCCTTTCACTACCACCAGTCCTTTTTCCCTTGGCAAGCCTCTCACGCGTCTGACAGGTATGATTCTGTTTTGTTTTTGCATTTTTATACACACAATTTTAAAAGAATTATGACATTGCTTTTGTATTACCATATATATACGTATACATATGGTCTGCTTTGTGTCTTCACGCCATACTGTCCACATAGATGTTTCATTACAGTTTTGATAATACTCTAAAGGAAGAAACCAAGGAGAAAGAACTTTATTCATCGAGAACAGTGACATGTGTTTATATGTTGCTGCCCACATAGTTGGGAAACTAAAGTCACGAGGACTTCACGGAAGCAACAAAGGGCCAAGTTTGGTTTGTAAAAGACTTGAAAAAGTATAGAGGCACAGAGAATTCTGTGGGGCATCTCAGAGATAATTCTTAAAACAATTTCCCAGCTCAGACCCAGGGAGGTTTGAGACATGGTCTTGCCCTCACTCTTTAGAATGCAAGTTCTGTTTAGTTTTCCAGTGCGGGAGATCAAACCGAGGGTCTCACACATGCTAGGCAGGTGCTCCATGACCGACCCACAGACCGACCCACATCCCCAGCCCTCTGTAGCTTTCTTGTTTGTTTTGTTTTTTAACATTTCGGCTAGACAAGGATTTCAACAAAGAAAGATACATTTAAAAAGGGATGTTAGGCTACTCAATCAAGATTTACTGAAACAGAACAATCAGCCCAGAAATTCTATAAATCACTGTCATTTAAGCCCTACAGGTGGACACACAAACCAATTACAAATGAAAGCACTTTTGATCAATGGAGTCATCGGAGTGTGCTAAATAAAACACATTTAAATGTGCTCACAGATAAAGATATCAAAGTGGCTTAGTGAGCGTTCTTGTGTTAGCAGTTTTAATTTTACCTTGTCAATGTCCCTGTCTACAAAATCTGAGAAAGCAGGGCTTTGATTTGTTCAGGTTTCCTTAAGGAGGGGCTGCAGAATCCTTGAAGCATGATTTGAAAAAGATGGATAAGATATTCTACCCAAAATTCAACATCACCTTTAATCTTGCCCTCTCCTCCTCTAATCCCTAGGTAATGTTTTGTGCTTCTTTTGCAGAAAAGCAATTTTGTTAATCACTTTAGCACCAATTCTTGCATCCCTGGCAATACTCAGAACTGCTTCCATCCAAGTCTTTGATGTGGGAAAGAAACATACACACACTCTCTCACATGTAATCTGAAAACAATTCACCTCTTGCCAATGAATGCACAGCACTCCACTTTAATAGAGAGCAAGTTCTGTGGAGGTTTCTAATCCTTTCTGCCAAACAAGAGAAGAGAGAGAATCACTCAGGTAGCCCAGCCTCATTCGGGAGTTAAAATCACTTGGAATGTTTTGTGGTGTGTTTGGGGCTTTTTAAAAATATCACTTGCTGAAGATTACTACTCTCAGGAGAAATCAAAACTAAAGATCAAAAAACAAAAACAAAAATAAAAAATAAAAGATTCTCCATCCCTAATTCAAACAAGATATTCTTCTCAACGCAGATGACTCTTGATCTAAGTGTATTAGAAAAAAAACCTACCTTAATCCCTCAAAGCAATGGTGTTATAGATAAGCAGCAGTGACTGAGGTGGCTTAAATTCCAGAAATGTACAAAAGATTTGGCTGGAAACAAAACAAAAAAAATTTAACTGGCATTGCTGTGCCTTGAAGAGGTATATCTAGGGCAGTAAAAATGCAAAGAATGACCCCTAAAAAAAAAAGAGATGACCATAAAACTTCAGAACTATCTTGATAGTCTGCTCAGCTGCTGTGTGTGTGTGTTTTGAGGAAGTCTGTGTCAGAGCTTTCAAAAGTTGAGATTGTTTTAACGGATTTGCAGATACGATGGAATTCATTTGAAAATTCTTTGTTACCTTCTGAAGCTTTATTCTACAGATGATTTTCTTTCTCAGTAATTTTTCTCTCGGTTTAGGTCTTGAACCCTGAACACCTGTGTCAGCCCACGCAGTGCCCATGCCTCTGCTCTACTCTGACTCTTCGCTGCAAAACTTTAGTGGCAGTTCCTTTCATTACGGCCTCTTCCGCATAGCCAAACCTGCTCTAGGAACACAGTCTCACTCTTCAGAATGCCCTTTTTTGGAGATAAAACTTTGATAGGAAGCACATGTAAATAGTTAACAGCCGAACGTTCAAAAGGTATAAAATGGAACATAGGGAAAATCCACCAAGGTTACTTCCAAGAGGCAAACACTGGCACTCGCTCTCTGCATGCTTTTGAGGTCTTTGGTGCACGGAAATCAGCACGCAGGTGATTTCTCTACTCACACTACGTTACACACACAGTTCTGCACTTCACGTTTCCCTCATTCTTTTTAACAGATGCTTGTTACTCTTTTCTGTGGATAGGACTTGTCAGTTGCAGTAGGTGGGAGGCTTTGGATTTGAACCCTTCTGAACCCCAGCACTGGCTGATTTCTTCCCAGGGAGTCTCTATGACTCTGTCGCTGGTACAATTGAGTCAGCTGCTGTAAATAAATACAACACGAAGGCTCTTGAAAGCTTATATTTTCTTACACCTTAAAAAAGTAATTCAAGTTTATTGGGTTTATTTTTAATTTTAAAAAGCAGCATTATGGAAGTGGTATGATCCATTCCACCTAGACTGTCATGATACAACTGCCTAAACTTTGAAAATTCCCTTGTTCATTGGTTTCTCTAGTGTGGGCTACTGTAACACAGGATACTGAATTAATAATTTCCTTCTACCAGCTGGTTTTAATATTTTAACCCTATGAAATATTAATAAATATTATTGCTTTGCACATCTCTAATTCTGATACTTAAACTCAGGATTCAACACACTATCTTCTGGTTGGCCTCAACTTTTCCTGGAAAATTAGGCAAACTTTGGAGCCTGACCATCCTGTGGTCCAAAAAGGGTGTGTGTATTTGTTTGTTTGCAGTACTATAGATTGAATCCAGGGTCTTGTGCAAACTAGACAGGCCCTATGCCTTTGAGCTACCTCCCCAGCCCTTTATAAATTGAGACAGGGTCTTGCTAAATTTTCAAGGCTGGCATTAAATTTATAACCCTCTTGCCTCAGCCTTCTGAGTAGCTGGGATTATGCATGACCAAGACGAAGCTCTTGACAGAGTACAGATTGAATCTCCAGAATTCTGCCACACACATGGGGTGCAGTAGCATCTGGGCCAAAGTTCCTCTCTACTTTCAGTAGCTCTGTACTGGTCGAGGCTCACACCCTGACCAGGAGAGAATCTACTCTTAACACTATGGCTTGAGGACTGATACCAATGTTACCATTGTTTGATTCTGTTATCAGGTGAACTTCAGTTTCAGCTTTTTGATTTTCCATTTCCCTCCTAATTTGGGTGCTTCTTAGGTGGGAAGTTTACAGGTGTCTGCTTACTGTTCTTGGAATGTCTTCTAGCTAAAGGCCTCTCACTTGCTGCAAAGCAGAGCTGTGTTGCCTGGAGGCAGCAGAGCTGGTGACCTAGTCCACTGTGGAAGGAGCAGGCGTCTCCCTGGCTCCATATATTTGGGAACTTTCCTGACTGGAGCCCAGGCTGCTCCAGGAGAGCTCAGGAAAACCCTGGAGGCCTAACTCGGACTTCTCCACGGCAGGTTCCTAATCCAGGGGCCGATTCTTGTTCATGTGTCTGTTTGAAACAGCTGCTACAGGAAAGGGGAAATAACACAGATTAATGTTTTAGAGTCTGGGAGCTTCTTAAAAGATAACATAAATCTTGGTTAAAAAATTAAGATCTGTTTTTTCTCGATCAACACCCAAATTTGTGTTTATATTTAACAACACAGTCCAACATCTGTATTAGATAATGTAACTGCAGGATAGATACTTCAGGACCGTTGTCCTTTGAATTTTTCATGCCTCCCCCCGCAACTATGATGGAGCACTGCAGATTATACCCAAGGCCTTTGCATTGACCCATATCCCTAGTCCTCCTTATATTTTACTTTGAGACACAGTTTTGATAAATTGCTCAATTGCTCATCATGGATTCAAATTTACAATCCTCCCGCCTCAGCCTCCCAGAGTTCTGGAATTAGAGGCTATGTCACCATGCTTGGGTTGCATTTTTAAGTTTTTAATAGAACCCCAAGCCTATCACAAGGTAAATAAATGATATTTTGTGATTTCATTCAGTGTAACAAAGGTATTAAATGAAAAAATTTATTTGAAGTTAGGCATTATTGCATAGCATTAATAATATGGAATCTGAAATAAGCATTCTATATTTAACCCAGAACTTTCTTCTAGGACAGCTAAAGATATCTAAAGAGCAAACATTTTCTGGAACTTAATTTTTAATTATTTCTTAGAAAATAACAACATCACATTTATACAAATTTTATCTTAATGGTGACTGACTGGCTTTATTTATTTATTTTGGTACCGGGGATCAAACTCACGACCTCATCTTGCCAGGCAGGCGCTATGCCACTGAGCTAAATCCCTAGCCCCTGGCTTTATTTACTGATTCTTTTTAAAAAATAGAATCTGAAAGCATGGTAAGAAATCCTTAGCAATCATGAAGCTTTCACAAGGTTTTGTTGTTTTCTTCAAGTTTTATATCTTCCAGCACTTGTCAAGACTCAGTCTTCTGACTGGCTCAGCCAAAAAAATCACACACCCTGATGCCACATGGCAATACAAGAACTGATCTTAAATCCTAATTCTGAGGGTTTTATAGTTTCTTGAAACTTCATTGAACATTACCCACTGACAAAAAGGAGAGTATTACAAACTGACTAATGATGGCATTATATAACAGGCAAGTCTCCTGGAAATCTGTTTTGTTTTGTTTTCCCTCAAAAGTTACTTTTATTTATTTATTTTTGTCTTTTTCGTTTTTATCGGTACCAGGGATCGAGCTCATGACTGCACACTTGCAAGGCAGGCGCTTATGCTGCTGAGCTAAATCCCCAGCCCCCTTTTTTTATTTTTTTGAGACAGGCTCTCACTATGCAGTTCAAGGCTGAATTCGAGCTCACTTTGTAGCCCAAGCTAGTCTTGAACTTGCAACAATCCTCTTGTCTCAGCTTTCCAAGTGCTGGGGTTACAGGCCTGTGACACCACACCTGGCTCAAAAGTTACATTATATTTCCTTTCTTGCTTTTTGATTCATCATAGACAGGCCTTAAATTTTGTGTGCATTGGTGTATACTTATATAATATATATCTAAATACATATAATTTATATAAAATCAGTGATCAGAAATGTCTCTTTTCTCACAGTTACAAATTCAGGACAGTATCTTGGAATGATGTTTCCTGACCTTTGGAAAGTCAATTTTCCTAGAAATTGTTAATTTAAATAACTAGAAATCTTTACTCATTTATTTATTTTGTAATGCTGAGGCTCAAATCTTGGGCCTTACACATGCTAAGCTACTGAGCTACACTCTTAGCCATAGATTAGAAATCTTAAGCAGAAGCTTACATTTTGTTGGAAGTGATTTATTTTTACTGGTTTCTTTTGCATCTGCAGTAACAGAATAAAGTTCATAATACTATGAATCTGTATAATTCAGGAAAAATATTGTTTTCATGGGCATGACAGTCGATATTTGCCAACTTACCTGTAAAGTCACAAAAGGCCAAAATGAATTTTTGAAAACTTTATTTTTTAATAACAGTTACAGGATATTGTGAAGACTGTACAGAGAGTACCTACATGTATGTGCATTTGTTAACAGTAATGAACTGATCAGATTTTCTTAGGTTTTAGCAAAGGTCCATTTTCTTTTCTGTTCTAGGATTTTGCTCAGGACACCACATCAGCCAGCAGCTTTAGTCCCACATGTCTCCTTTGGCTTCTTTGACGGTGACAGCTTCTCAGACTTCCCTTGTTTTGAGACGTTCTCACTATGCAGTTCACGCTGGCCTTGAATTTGTGGTGATCCTCATGCCTCAGCCTCCTAAGTGCTAGGATTATACGCATGTACCATGCTCTTGGAAAACATTTTTAAAAGAAGTTTTAATTTTGATGAATTTTTAGTCTACTCACTTTTTTTTTGGTGGTTATTACTTTCCATATAGTATCTTTGTTTACTCAGATCACAAAAGTATTTTGCTATTGATATAGGGGAAAGTAATTCTCAACCTACTACATGTCCAGTGCAAGTTCCTGTTCTTTAAAATTGAAGAATGAATTTTAGCAACAGTGGAGGTTAAGAGCAGAATATATTCATTGAGAGGAAGAATATATTCAGTCTGAGAGAGAGACAGAAGGGGTCCTGAGCGGGTTGCCCCTTGGCAAACATTTTAAGGATATTGATCAGGTATTTTCGTAGAACATTCCTTAACTGAAATTGGTGAATTGGTGTGGTGTTTTTCTCATTATTAGCCTGAGATTATGGGTTCTGAGGAGGAAGACTACAGGGGCAAAGTGTCAGTTTTGTCTACACCATGCCAAGGCCCATTCCACCAACATGACTTCACAGTTGATGCTGACACTGACCCCCTGGCTGAGGCAAAGCCTTCTCCACGGCAAGCTGCTCCTTCCTATTTCTGTCGCACTTTCTGGAACGAAGGCACAGAGGTCCCTCTACTCGGTCCCCATCAGGAGTGACGAGTTACACTCTATCTCCTTGAAGATGAAGTATATGTTGGAATTCTGCGGAAGAACTGGGAAATGAATGTGTGTGTGTGTTTTACAAAGTTAAGTGTTCTTTGGCAAGATATGTTAGTCCCTACAAATTCCTTTAAAGTTTTGCAAAGAGATTATAAAAAGCACTAGGAAGTTAAGGGTCTGCATGATTAACTCTTGGAAAGTAACCAAGACAAAGCTAGATATACTGGTGCACATCTGTAATTCTAGCTTCCAGGATTGGGGGTTCTAGGATAGCCTAGACAATTCTGCAAAACTCTATCAAAAAAACAAGAGAAAAGTCCAGGTGTGGTGGTACATAGCTGTAATCCTAGCACTCAGGAGGCAGAGGTAGGGGGATAGCTGTTTGAGGTTAGCCTGAGACCTTGTCTCAAAAATACCCCAATATCTGCCCCCCACAAAACAAAAATTCTTTAAAAAGTATTCAGTGCATCTATCTAGGAGTGATGGTGCACACCTGTAATCCTTACACTCAAAAGGCTGAAGCAAAAGGATTAGGAGTCTGACACTAGCCTGGCTCCTACACAGTAACAGCCTGTTTTTTTTTTTTTTTTTTTTTCTTTTTTAAGTAGGGAATATTTATTGAGGAAAGATAGCTTCTGTCTAAAAGAGACAAAAGGGAACCCAGAAAGTATGTTGTCTAAGACCCTGGTTTTTTTTTTTTTTTTTTTTTTTTTTTTTTTTTTGGTCTTTTTCGTTTTTATCGGTACCAGGGATTGAACTCACGACTGCCTGCTTGCAAAGCAGGCGCTTATGCCGCTGAGCTAAATCCCCAGCCCAAGACCCTGGTTTTTAAAAAAAGGAAGTAATCAATGCTTCTAAATACCCCTATAAAACTCCCACTGAGTCTTAAGTTTCAATATATTATGATTTAGTTTTTCTATTGTAATTTAAAAGTATTCCAGTGTTTTCAGTGTACTTATTAATCTGCAAACTAAAAAAATTAAAATAAAAAACAAATGTGAATGCCACCACAGCACGTTCATCTCCATTCAGATATTTTAAAATGTTGCTTTAATTCCTCTATCAATGAAGCCAACATAGTATACTGGATAAATTATGCCTGTTTGAAAGTGGTTTTAATGCTGACAATTTATATTAGATTAATAAAATAATTTTTCATATTCCTCACCAAAAACTAGGTATAACTTTAGTATGTATAAAGAAAGGCTTAAAAAAAATTGTCAGCTAGTGAGTGGCTAAGGCAGGACAATCACAAGTTCAAGCTCAGTCTGGACAATTTAGGGACTCAGCAAGATCCTGTCTCCAGAGAGGTATCTTAGTGCGGAGTTCTAGATTCAGTCCCCAGTACCAGAAAAACAAAAGTCAAATAGTAAGACCTGAGACACAAACGGAAGAACTATATGCTACATTTATCCTTGTTTTCCTTCCAGAACTGAGACTCACGGCACACAAATGGAGCAGGATCAATGAGCACTGAATTGCTGATGATATCACCTTAACTGACATGTTCCTAACGCAGTGGTCTGCTAGCGAATTCTACAGTAAGTGAACTTTTTAGTAGTGATTTCCAAGAGATGGCTGCAATTCTTTGGTTGTACTGAGATGTAAAAAAGCCCACTGCTTTTAACAAACCCCTGCATGGAGTTTGGAAATCATTTTGTAAAATACAAAGCCTTTGTTGTAGTGTGTGTGTGTGTGTGTGTGTGTGTGTGTATTTGTAACAGGATTTGACCTGTAACTATTACTGAGAATTTTCTTAGAAGAGTTCAAAGCATTTTACAGGGATCATCTCATTTATCCTTCGAAAGTAAGGCAAAGACATTATCTCCACTAGACTCAGAACACTAAAAGGCCAAGATAGGTGGGATTTTTTGTTGTTGTTTTGCTAAGATTAAAAAGTAATTCTAGGGCAAAGCCAGATTCCAGTCTGACCTTGTTACATGATGCTCTTTCTTCCTTAGCTATGTTATGTGTCGAAACATTTTCAGAATTGATTTCTCATTCATTCCTACTCCCTAAAAATAGTTAAGATAATGATAAATATGAAAACCTTTCGATGGGGGTGACAGAATCCATAGAGGCAGGAAGATACCAAATCTTAGTGTAGCTCAGTGCTATCAGAAAAAAAAGTGGGCGGCAAATGCAGGCGACATGTATAATATTAAATTTCCTACTAGTTACATGAAAATATATTGTATTTAACCCAACAGAGCTGAAATGGTGACTATAATAAAATTCATGAGCTATTTCAATTCTTTTTCTTACATCTTCAAAATCTGGTATTGCTCTTATGTCTAGAGCATTCATTCTCCGTTGTGGACTGGCTACAGCACAAATGCTCATATCTACACGTGATCAGGGCTGATCGTGTGGGCCAGCACAGGTCTAGACCTCTGTAGCTCTCCCTTCAGCTTTGTGCCAGGAGAATCCCATGGGTGACAAGCGACAGGGAGCCTGGGTGACTCTGGAAAAACAACTTGTTTCTGGAAGGTGGCCGGCAAGAAGCCTATGCGGCCGTTTCCGCATCTGTACTGTCTGCTGGGCCGCAGCTCACCCTGGAGTACACGCGCACACAGGTGCGGCGCGGGCGAGACCCCTTCTCGCCACGCGAGATCGGGCCGTGGGCCCGTCCGCTTCCGGGGTCGCGGCCCCCGTGCTCTGCTTGCGCCCCGGCGATCAGGCAACACCTGGGCAGGCGCCGGAGCGGGCTGGCGTCGGCTCTCCGCGCCGCGCAGCCCATGCTGGGGGCCTCCGGCGGCCTCGCCCCACGCTCGAGGAGCGGCTGCACGCACTGTGCCGGCGCTGGCCTTACCCGCGTCCCATGTGACCCGGGGCGGGGCGGTGTCGCCTCCACCGCGGCCGCGGTGTCTCGGCCGGGCTCCGCGTCATCATGGGCAGCCAGGGCCGCTCGGGGCCGCCCGCGAGCGGCGAGGGCGAGGGCGAGGGCGAGAGCGAGGGCCGGCCCGGGAAGACCAAGGGGAAGGGGAAGCGGAGGAAGCGGGGGAAGGCGCGCAGCGGAAGCGGGCACGGACCGGAAGGGGCGCCGCGTTCCCGCGGGGCTGCGGCCCACGCTGGGCTCGCCGAGCAGGGCGCCGGGGCTGCGCGGGAGGCCGCCGTCGCCGGCTCCCAGGCGGCCATGACGACGGCCATGGCGACGGCCGAGGAAGCCGCGGGGCCCTCACTCTGGCGTCTGCCGGAGGAGCTGCTGCTGCTCGTCTGCTCCTACCTGGACGCGCGCGCGCTCGGCCGCTTGGCCCAAGTGTGCCGCACGCTGCGGCGCGTCACCAGCTACGACCTGCCGTGGCGCCGCATCGCGCGGGCCTCGCTCAACGCTGGCTTCTCGCGGCTCGGCACAGACCTGTAAGCGCCCGCTGCGGCGGCCCCAGCATCCCAGGCGTCCGCCCACCAAACAGCCAGCCAGCATGCCGCCTCCCCTCGCTGTAATAAAGTTGTGCGGCTTCAGGCCCTAGAGAAAGGCCTTGGCGTATTTCATGGCTTGGCACGTGCAAGGGACCCTCCATGCCCGCTCGAGGCAGAGGCCACTTAGGGCCAGGCCGCAGCCGGGTGTGCCTGGCTCTGGCCTGGCCTGACCTTCGTAGGAGCTGAGGCCTGGGAGTCCAGGGCTTGGCTCAAGCACGTGCTGTTACACGGTGGAATTGGGGATGTGTGTGTGTGTGTGTGTGTGTGTGTGTGTGCAAGCTTCCAGGTTGATTTCCACCCCTCCCAGGCCAGATACAGTATGGTAACATTGAAGTTGACATGAAGGCCCATAATGTTATCAACTCAAGAAAAGTATTTCCATTTAAAAATTTTTCAGTTGCACTTCCCCCTGGTTGCTGTCACTCTGGCATAAGTACGTAGTGAATAATTTGATACGTTTCCGAGTAAGTGCTTTATTCAGATATGTCACCACATGCCACACATTTATTTTTTTGAATTAGTTCTTAGGATAAAATCTCTAGTGTTACTATATCAAAAGTTATGGTGTTGGATCAAGTTACAGTATACCTGCAAAAAAATGATGGAAGCAATCTAGATATTTCAAAATACACTTGCTACTTTAGCAGATTATGTGGTATGTCGGAGTTGTGTTAATTTGCACCACTTTTACTACAGACCAGGATAAATATTTTCCCATTTTTTTTTTTCTTTTTCCTTTTTATTGGTACCGGGGATCGAACTCAAGCTGCTTGCAAGGCAGGCACTTATGCCACTGAGCTAAATCTCCAGCCCCACCATGTGTTTGTTTAACCTGTGAGGTTGTCTCTCCCCTTGCCTCGTTTTATTATTAGGTTCTTGATGTTTTTCTTATACGTTTAGAAGCCTTGTGGGTCATAGATATTAGTCTGGTCTGTCATCTTTGGTGCAAGTATTTTTTCAATTTTTATTTTACTGTTTTTATACCATAGAATTTTTATGTGTTAATAGAATCTGCTAGTCGTTGTTGCTGTTTTTCCCTTTTCCTCCAAAGCCGAGAAATTGATCTCATCACAGATCAATAAATCTCTTAGATTTCCTTCTGGTTTTCTTACAACTTGATTTTTAAAAATAGTTAATAGTCTCATTAATACTTGTTTTGGTGCAAAAAGTGAATTCAGTTAACCGTGTTTCCCCAGTGGTTGCTTAGTTATTAGTATACCTTTTGTGAAGTAGTTTTTATTCTCTTGATTCGGGAAGCTAACTTTGCATGTATGAAGGTTATACATACATACTCATAAGTATGTTACGTATGTGTGTTTGGTCTATGTCTACATTGTCCATTTTGTTCTATTGATATATTTCCATTTTCATACTATTTTAAAAGTTGTTGCTTTTTAATACAGTCTGGTATGTGTTAGGGTTAGATTACTGTATCTTTGTTGGGTATGTGTGTGTGCCCATGTCTACTCAGTTTCTCACAAAAAGTGTACCTTTTCAGAGATTTCTGTGGTTGCTGAATCTATTTCTGTAGTTGCTAAATATGTTGCTGAATTTATTCTTGTGATTTCTAAATATCTTGTGCATTTTGTTTTTATTGCAAATGCAATCTTTGTGTTTTCCAGCAGAGTATGACTGATTTACAGGATTACTGTAATCTTTTGTAAATTTTGAAACTGATTATTTTGCATAACTTTTTCTGGTGTGATTTTTTTGGTGATGATTTCTTAGGATTGGCATGGGGGATACAATCTTGTTATCTGCAAAAATAGTATTTTTTTCTTTACTTTTCTTACGAGAATCACGCTTTCACAGAATATTATCAGTTGACTTGTAAGAGAAGTTGATTAGAATGACTCAAACCCAACTGAATCAAGGCAAAGTATGGCTTTCTTTTGCTCCTTATGGGGATTGAATGGATGGATTTTTGGGTGGATGAATTTTTTTTTCTTTAACTGTTCTGAAAGAGAGGTAGTGGGAATGCGTCTACACTCTCATAGTGGAAATAATAACAGCAAAGTGAAAATAAGTTTATAGTGAAGTGCTTTGAGACTGCCAAACAATATTATGACTTTACTATTTATTGGGCATGTATGTGTTGGTTTTTTACTGTTTTCATGTGAGATATCACCTGCCTTCCAGAAGTAGTTTTGTCATAGTACTTGACAAAACAGGATCACTGCTCGCTTTTCTGCGTTGAGGGGCAAGTTATACAAGTTAGAGCAGGTGGAGCGAGTGTTTACCAGTGTGGTCTGCTCTGGACAGCTGCAGATACTGCACTACTGAGAGAGGTGGTGTATTTTTTTATCCCTGAAAACAGAGGCTGTGCACCCCAGTTCTCTGAGTGTATGGACCCTAGCCCAAAGTACTGCAGGAGTGTGGCTGTTTGGACAGTGTGGGGTGGCTGCTCAGGCTTTGCTGTTCACTGCAGACTGAATAAGTGGGATACATTTTTATAAGTGCAGCACAAAACTTGATTTTGTTAGAAGTCACATAACCTCACTGGCTCGTGAGCTTTATTATATATAAAGAATGACATTGTATAGTAAAGTGAGACCCAACTGTAGGATGCTGGCTGGTACAGTGTTCAGCTGTAGGCATTCAACAGATTGTCATAAAAGAGAACTTTTAAATTGCTTGGCTTCTCAAGTCAGGTTGTATATGGCAAGAGTGGTGATGGTTTCTGCATACACACAGGAGGGAGAACACACATACACACACACGCATACGCATGCACGCACTTACAGAGGGTGGTTTCTTTCACATGTCCTGAATGTTTTCATGAGCATGACAGCAGGACCTATAGGCTTAGGGCCTGCGCTTGCTGCGTAAGAGTCTTCTGATTCTTGGAAACATAAGCTGCTAAGGTTTACTGACCTTCCGGTCTGGGGCAAGCCCCATTCAGTTAGGTTCTTCCTAACTGATCATAGCTTTGTTGAGTAAGATGAACTGCTTTGGTTCCTTGTGATTTGTTAATGGTTTTATACTTGTGCTTGAAGGCATTTAGGCCACTTTAAAACCACCAGCAAATAATTTGCTTCCCTTTAGGCCTCTTGCCCAAACAGTGAACACTAATAGGTACCCTGAGTTTTTTTTAAAGGGACACAAAGATAGTTTGAGTCAGTCATCTGATGAAAAATCAGTTTGAAGGATTTATGAAGCCTAGAGGGAATAGAAATAACTTGGATAAAATGATAAAAATCAAGATAGTGTTTCCTGCAGCAGTGTTTGAAAGTTTTCCCTAAAGAGTAGGGGAAAGCTAACTTAGATCCACGTGCAGGACTAAAACAGTGGAGTACAGCCTGCTTGATGTTCTGTGCAGGCTGTGTGCCGGGGTGTAGTGGGTGATGGGAAAGAGCAGGCATGCTCTCTGCACATTCTGATGCTGAAAATTAACGAGCAGAAAAAGAAAAAAATACACAAACTTAAAAATATTTTTGCTATTCCTATGTAAAGAAGGCTTCTTTGCTCTCCCTAATCAAGTGCTACTTACTGTATTTTTAAATGGAAATTTCATGTTAAACAACCTGTGAGCAGCATGTGGGTGCACCCTTGCTTTTGCCTGTATTAGATTCTCCTGGAATTAACAATGGGTGCTTGGAGAGTGAGCTGCTGAGGTGACTGCCGTGGCAAGCATGCTGGCTCCTGTGGCTGTGGCCTTGGAGCTCTTTGAGGCCAGGCCAGGGTATCCATTTCAGTGATGATTAACATCCAGAGTGGTGAGATAGACACAGATAAGCGGAATGTGTTTGTTTGTTTTAAAATGATTGCACCTAAGAGCACTGTCTCTCTCTGTCTCTCTCTGTCTCTCTCTCTCTCTCTCAGAAAGCGTTAAGTTTCCTTTCCTGAGTGGAGAGGACATTGCTGACTGGTTACATTTAAGACCCAACCTGTGATCTTTAGAAAATAGCAACTCAGAGTAGCTTAGGTTTTCTGCTTCCCTTTTCTGTAGTAGCTAGGAAGGAGAGGCATTTACATGGCCTAGTTTATTGAAAACTTTTATCCGTGGATATATTCTCTTCAGTTGTTTTGGAAAGCTCTTATTTTTAATGGCTCTGCGAGTTAATAAAAATACGGTTCAATTTACAGGCTCAAAACAAAGAATACACCTGCAGAAACGGGAAGCGTTCTAGAGAAGTCCTGCCTTCAGTGCATGCTGGAGGAGTGGAAGGTCTCCTCCAAGACTGCAGGAGTCTTGCAGGAGTGCGGGAGCTGCCGTGGCTTTCCCAGGCTTATCCAAGTTAAGTGGTTGCGGATGAAGTTCCTGATTCTCAAGGCAGAACCCAGAGCCTTCAGGAATTTCTTCTGGGAAGATGTCTCTGAAAGTATTTCATTACTCCATGCTTTCAGTTTTTGTTTTTAGAATATTACCTTAGGTAAAGATTGTGCCTGAGCTGCTGAAATCCAGCTGGCAGTGAGGTTACTGAGTAAGTTTACATATTTCTTTATTTCTTTTCAAAATTACTGAGTTGGACATAGAAAAGAGTAATTTTGGTGAGACGCCTTAATTCTGGGCTGACTTGGCACTGGCTTACTCTCTGGTCCTGATGCCTGGCATGCAATGAGGAGAAATCCAGGTATACTCTTTTTGATGCCAGGTTCAATAAATTTTGAAAATTAGGATGAGGAAAGATAAATAGAAAACTGGGTTTTGAATTTTTAGTGAAAACTTACGTTACTACCTCCTCCCATCTGTAGAAACTGATTCCTCACAAACATTTCTCAGAGGTATCAACCAACAGAAGAGTTTGAGAATACAAAGATTTGGTTTTCTTTTGAGGAAAATACTTTTATTCTGAAGTCTTACTGAAAGTTGAACAGGATTCAGATGGAACTCCAGTTGTGATCAAGAGGAGTAAGATGATTGTGCTAATTAAGAGTGTGCGTGTGAGTCAGGGTTGATGGCACATAACCTGTAATACCAGCACTTGGGAGGCTGAGGC